ATGTATTTTTGCACAAATGTTGTTGTTGCTGTTGTTATTGTTATTGTTGTTGTTATTATTTTATTTGACTTGGCCATTCGCTTGGATTCCCATTGTACAGCAGCTACTCTGCTTGCCTTCAGTTTTCGTCCGTTGTTGCTGTTGCATTTGCCAAAAACTGCAAATCAGATGCGACTTTTTGCATGTGTGTGTGTGTGCGTATGTGTGTGTGTGCGTATGTGTTTTCGCACATGTCGGTGCATATTAATTTTGTGCATACTTTATTTTCCTTTTTTCGCACATTTTACTGCACTCTGTTTCTCTTTTTGTTTCTGTTTTTATTTTCTGCAAACATTTGCAATAAAGAAGAACATATTAATTTCGACTTCTGGTTATTAAGCTGCACCCGGGCCAGGCAAGATTAAAACAAAAAGAACGCAAATAGGCAAAGGCATGCAAATAAATTGCATATAAAAAAAACTTTCGTGATTTCTTATTTGCTTTTGTTGCAGTTTTTTGTTTTTGTGGCCTGCAGCCCCATTCAGAATTTATTGCAATATTTTCGCGAAATTTGCTGGCAATTGCCAGAATGCATGCTTTTTAGCAGCCTCAGCGTGTTTTCTTTTCGCACGTTCAACTGAGCGTATGCGTAATGTGCTTTAACAGTCTGCCAATCCTGTGCCCATTCCTTGCATAAACATATCGTTAATAACCTCCATATTAACATACTTTCTTCAGCGTTCTCGGAAACGTTTCATTCAAATTAAACCCAATTTATGATCGGCCGCTGCTTTACAAAGTTTATTTTGCTATTGCGTAAATATTAATAATATTTAATGTAAGTTTACTTTTACGAAACTCGTAAATGAGTAGTATATAAAAGCTCTAAACAGTTAATATTATTTATATGTAAATTAAAGTTAATGCCACTAAAGTAACATAGTTGTTTCTGCCGGAATCTTAAGCTACCACACCTTGAACATTGGTAGCTAAAATTATTTTGTATAAATTTGCTTTTCTTGGGAAGTGTACAAATAATTATGTGCTTTCTAAAGTAGGATCTGAAGTAAGGAAGCTTTGAATTGGCTAGGATATTGAATTTGAGGTTGGAAACGAATGAGTCGTACGTTGATGAGTTTTTTGTAGAGCATAAGCATAATCTTAAAATTATTATTATGGTTATACAGAAGTAATTGTAAAAATATTATCCTTATACTTAATTTAGTTATATGTTTAAAAAATATTATCACTACTAATACGCTTTGTATTTTTTTTAGTTTGAACAGAATCGATGTTTTAGCATCAATGGTATACCAATTTGGCATTGAAAAACAGCACCAAAATAATGCCAAGTTTTATAGTTTCTTAAACAAAAGTATTTAATTTAAACTTCATTTCAAATTGACGTCAAATAAATGTTGTCCACAAAAGTGTAGCTTCAATCATTTCATTTCGTTTTGATTTAATGATTATTTCTTGTATGGAATAATTAGTTTGTGAAAATCTCCCGGTATCATTCCGAGACATTGAAAATTCAACCAGTTTTGCGCAACAGAAATATACATATGTATGTACATATGTACAGGGTGCGCCATCTTTTATGTCGCTTTGTCATTAGTGAACCGATTGACTTGAGTAGACCAGTGTTGAATACGTCAGTTCAAGAAATTGTACAGAACCAAATTAAATAAAAATATCTCGTACATGAAAATCGGTTGTTTATTTTCAAAGATATTCAATGTTTACATACCGACATAAAAGATGGCGCACCCTGTACTTATATACATATATATGTACATATGTACTTATATACATATGTACTTATATACATATGTATGTACATATGTATGTACTTATATACATATGTACACGTACATATATCTCAGTGTAACGTGCTTCAACATATGAAAGCGTGCCGTGCGGCTGATAGCGATAAATGATAGTAACTTTTCTCTTCTTAGAACTGAAATACACACTTTAAACAATTATCCCGTAACTGGGAGTACGTTTCAAAAGCGTAAAGCACTGCTTAGACTCGGCCGAAAAAAATGAAAAAAAAAAAAACTACGCGAGTGAAACATTTTTAAGTCATCTTCGTCTTATGGAATGCGATGCAGTCGAACTGTGTTGCAGTCACTATGCAGAGCTATTGCTGTTGCTGCCACCGCCCAACCCCCAAGCGCAAAGCCAGACTGTCAGTCCATCATTCTGTCAGTTTGTCAGCCTGTTTTGTGACTACGACGTCAACAGCGACGGCGATGGCGACGGCGACGTCGACACACATTCGGAAAAGCGGTTGTTGTTCTTGCGATTGTTGCAGTTGCACTCAGCTCTCTCTTAATCGCAGCCGCAATGCTCGCAAAGAGAGCAATGGCCGTTTAAGAGCGGCACAAGAATGAAGAGTATATTTCGTTTGAAGTTAAGAGCAGAACTTTCTTTTCAATATGTTTTGGTTTTCATTAATATTACTCATTTCATTCGCAAGCACACACACACACACACACATATACCAACACATACGCTTTGTGAGGCTCACGTAATGTGAGAACATGAATATGAGTGTATGTTTTTAGTGGGTCTGTGTGTGTTGTATGATTTGTATATGGCTGGCGTATAATACTGCCGTGTTGGGGAAAAGTTCATTGACACTTGAAAAGCATTTCAGTCAGTCAGTCACTCGCATACACACACACACACACTCACTCACTCAACTCTTACTCACTCACTTGCTTGTGCTGTGCGCTCATCAACTGTCACACATTTCTCCAATAGTGGCACTGCCAGCAGCAGCAGCAGCAGCAACAACAACAAAGCAACGTCAACAGCTTGGCACATTTTTGAGCTAGATGTTGTGTTGTGTTTTGATTACGCGGCTGCTGCGTTGCTGCTGCGACGCTGGCGTCGTCATTGCCGGCGCTGCTGTTCACGACGTCCGCGCTTATGTCTGTGTTTGTTGTCTGCGTTCGGTTCAGCGCGCGCACCTCTTTCATCCTCGTGGGTAAATACGCAAAGCGGTATATTACACAATAGTCAACAACAACAATAAAAACAACAGTCGCTCAATCGTACGTAGCAGCCAAGTGGATTCTTTTTTAATGTTTACGGAGCATTTTGCATGGCCCAGTGCAACAGTGGCTCCACAACACCCAAGAACCAGTTCTATTCAGCACGTGTATATGTGTATGTGTGTAGAAGAGAGTGCATTTACTGTCAGAGCTACACTTAGATAAAAAGTGTCAGATGTCGCTTTATAATGTAGAAATCCCTCTTTAAAAACATCTGACTGCAGCCAGCACTACTTTGTTAAAAGCTTTCTTTTAAATACAATTGTTTTCTATTTGAGCTTTGTCTTCTACATAAGAACATTATTTTTCTGGAAATGTATTTCTTTGTTAGTTTCTGCGGTTTTACTTGTAAAATTACGTTTCTACATCAAACGGACGATCTCGCCTCGAAAGCTATAAAAAAAGGATATGCTAGAGATTTATAATTGTAATTAATTGTGAAATCCCCTAACTTTGGAGAACATTTTTCTTTCATTTCAAGCATTTTAAGTTTTACAGCGATTTTTTAAATTCAAGAAATTGATTTTTTCTGAGTGTACAACGCATGTAACTGATCAGTCTGTTGTTCTCTTTGTTACGAAGAACTCTTGTATTACATCATCGTAGTTGTCGTAAGAACCGCGTTTGTTTATTTGTGTGTGTGTGTGTGTGCGTCAGCTTCTCCGCGGCTTCTTCTGTCGTGTTGTCAAAGGATTGTTAGAGGCAGCGACAGAGGCAGTGTCAGAGGCATGGGCAAGGGCAGCGAGGGAATCCCAACCCCAACACAGCTGTCTGCCACACAATTCACTTGAGTTGCGTTTCGCATTATTCTCTAAGCAGACAACAATAACAAGTACAACATGCAGCTCTAGGTATTGTGCGGTTATTGCGCAATAGAGTTCTTTGAATGCTTTGTTCTATTTCTTCGCGAAGGATTACGGGTTACTCGCGTACGCTAAGAGTGCACGAATTGCAGTTCAATTGAAGTTTCTTATGCCATATGGTTGTAATTGACAGAGCAGGATATAATAATTAGTCGAACTAGAGTTACTTACATATGTCTACAAAGGAGAAATTTGCCTCCGCAAAACAAGAAGTCTCGTCAAAAAAACCAAATATTATCGAATAACCTGAAAACATCAAACTTAAATCGACTTAATTTACACATACAAATGTTTTCTACTATTTTGAGAAAAAAAAAGATTATTTTGAGAAAATTTCTCAAATACCAATAGATATCCTACCAAGATTACTTTTTCCACCGATCATTTTCATGTCAGCTATATGGTATAATGTACCGATTTTTATGAAACTGGAGGTTAGGGTAAAGTACAGTATGAACTCGGTAATGGCAACTAAAGACAACCAGGGTATTTGCACTTTTGGAAATTTTTGCACCTATAGATAAACATTTTATAACTTGAAAAATGCTAAATAAAAGGGTTTTTATGACGCTATAAACTTAATTTTTATTTGAAAGCCTATTTTGAACATATTTGTTTGTTTTTTTGCCTGAATTATTTGCTTATTTTTGCTTATTATTATTATTTTGTTATTAAGGATAACAACAGTCCTACGAAGCTCCGAAAGAAATATTTTTTATTGGAATATCATATCCCTTAACATACATTTTTTATAAAATTTACAAGATCTAGGAATTATAAGTACAAGTATTTCCTTAAGATTTCCCTGCTGAACTCTACATACACTATTAATAAATATCAAATCATAAATACGTAAAGAATTCAAAATGTAACTAGTCTACAGTAACTAAAATTAGAATTTGAAGAAACCAGCACTAGTTGAAATTACACAGTACAATCTATTTGTTAGAGTGGTGGTAGAATGTGGAATTGGACTTACAATGCCTAAAATTCAATGTTGAACTTAGTCGTATAATAAAATGTTAAAGACTCTATAGTACTTTTATCCTTAAACATCCATGCTAATTAGTTCTTTCATTTAATCTGCTTTCAGCTCAAATTGAGATAATTCCATGCAAAGTTTGTGGCGACAAATCGTCCGGCGTTCACTACGGCGTTATCACCTGTGAGGGCTGCAAGGGATTTTTTCGTCGTTCACAGAGCTCCGTGGTCAACTATCAGTGTCCGCGCAACAAGCAATGTGTTGTGGATCGGGTTAATCGAAATCGCTGTCAATACTGTAGACTGCAAAAGTGCCTAAAACTGGGAATGAGTCGTGATGGTAAGTAAATGCGATGTCACCCGAAATGTTAGACAAGTTTATAGGCCTGCTTGTTCGTTGAATGCATAATTGATATTAGAAGCTATATCCAGATAAGTCATTTAAAACTGCACTAAAGAAACAATCGAATAAAAAAGAAAAGTTTTTTTTTCATTTGTAAACATTTAAATGTAATATGAGATTTGATTTAACTGGCTGGTGATTCTTGAAATAATATTTATACGCAAATAGTGTCGAACTATCTTCTTTTAATTCAATAAGAGATTGATTTTGCTTATCTTCGATCACCCAGAAGTGAGGGCATATTTTTTTAGAAATAACATATATTCGATTTCAAGATATGTTTTTGTAATGCAGTTCAATTCTGCACTCCATCGTTGTTTGATTGTTAGTTATAGATAATATATTAATAATATTAACACTTTGTGGCATTTCGTGCAGCTGTAAAATTCGGCAGAATGTCCAAGAAGCAACGTGAGAAGGTCGAGGATGAGGTGCGTTTCCATCGTGCCCAGATGCGTGCGCAAAGCGACGCGGCACCGGACAGCTCAGTGTTCGATACACAGACGCCCTCGAGCAGCGATCAGCTGCACCACAACAACTACAATAGGTGGAGTATTGCTATAGCGTGCTAAGATTCCGCAAGTTGCTATATATTTATGAACTGTGTGCGTGTCTTTTCTTTTTTTCTGTTTGATTGCCCACAGCTACAGCGGCTACTCGAACAACGAGGTCGGATACGCCAGTCCCTACGGCTACTCGGCATCGGTGACGCCGCAACAGACAATGCAATATGATATATCGGCCGATTATGTTGACAGCACCACATACGAGCCGCGCAGTACAATGATGGATCCCGAATTTATTAGTCATGGTGCGTATTGCAGCAATTTTAAAACCAGAAGAGCTAATATCTATCTATCGTACGTAACTCTTTCAGCTGATGGCGATATTAATGATGTGCTCATCAAAACGCTGGCCGAAGCACATGCAAACACAAATACCAAGCTGGAGGTTGTGCATGACATGTTTCGAAAGTCGCAGGTAAGTATCTAATAACCGTGTCACCAATAAGTACGAATATAATATGATATTTGGGGACTATTCCAGGATCTGTCGCGCATCATCTATTACAAGAATCTGGGCCAGGAGGAGCTATGGTTAGACTGTGCAGAGAAGCTTACACAAATGATACAAAATATTATCGAATTTGCTAAGCTGATACCGGGCTTTATGCGCCTGAGTCAGGATGATCAGGTATATTGGAAGAGAAGCCCTCCAATTGATATCATTAACTTGTATTTGATTCCACCATTGACAGATACTGCTGCTGAAAACGGGCTCCTTTGAGCTGGCGATTGTTCGCATGTCCAGATTACTAGATCTCTCACAGAACGCTGTCCTCTATGGCGATGTGATGCTGCCGCAGGAGGCGTTCTACACATCGGACTCGGATGAGATGCGCCTGGTGTCGCGCATTTTCCAAACGGCTAAGTCCATAGCCGAACTAAAACTGACTGAAACCGAACTGGCACTCTACCAGAGCTTAGTGCTGCTCTGGCCAGGTATGTAATTGTCAAGTCTAACAGAGCTAAATCATCTGAACTGTTTCATCTCTGAATCAAACTTTAAACCCCAACTGTCGTTCATTATTTAAGGGCCTTCAGCAGTCCAATATTAATTCATATTTTTAAAAGTCAGTTACAAAAAAAATTTGTTATCACCCCAATATTTTCAATTGCAAATTGAAGTTTCATCTTCTTAGCTACATTGCATTTGTATTGTGTAACATCAGCTAAATTAGAAGATATTATAAGCTCACCAAGCAACAATCAAACATCTTTCTATTCTATTACTAAACGCACTTCTATTGACTTCCTATTTTTGCAGAACGAAATGGTGTGCGTGGCAATACGGAAATACAGAGGCTTTTTAATCTGAGCATGAATGCAATACGGCAAGAGCTTGAAACGAATCACGCGCCGCTCAAGGGCGATGTTACCGTGCTGGACACGCTCTTAAATAACATACCCAACTTCCGGTGAGTAGCTTTCGATTCTGGATGAACGATAATCCTAAACAAACCATGGCTTTAATTTACAGCGACATTTCGATCATGCATATGGAAGCGTTGAGCAAGTTCAAGCAACAGCATCCAAATGTTGTATTCCCAGCGCTGTATAAGGAGCTCTTCTCAATAGATTCGCCCCAAGATCTGACATAACAAGAGCAGCTGTTCATGGAGACTTCAATTGACGATGTTGCCGCCGGCTGTCCGCTGGAAATTTTGGCAACGGCAACGGCATCGCCAACGTCGCCGCCATCTCAGCAGCAACAGTTGCTGGAATAGCTGCAACAGCAATGGCGGAGCAACAACAACAAGCAACAACAACAACAACAGACAACAAACCAAGCAACAACTTTATCATCATTTAAGCTAGCATACAACCAAGGATGTGATCCTGGCCGAGGACTCACTTAAAATATATTTAACAAAACGAAAACAAAAAAATGGGAAAAACAAAAATGCTAAACATTACAAAATATATGATATACTTTTTTCTATCAACCAACAAAAAACAAACAAACAAACAAACAAAAGCAAAAGAAAACTCAGTTAATATTTCGCTTTATATACAACAACAGAAAAAAGTGAAAAGGAATGCAAGAGGCATGTCTTTTGCAGTGCATTTGTCTATAAAAAATGCCTTAAACAGTTTCAACTTATTTCTTAAGTTACATTTAGCAGCAGCATTCTTAACCACAATATATGCGTAAATACATACAAACAAGCACACACACACACTCTCTCATAGACACAAGTGTATGTTTTAGCAGCAGCAACAAAAGCAACATTATCATAAATTAGCTCAAATGACAAAATTTTTTGTTAACCCTTCCCCACAACCACCATCAGGTGTCTCGACGCTCAACGTTGTGCGGCATTGCTTATATCGACTAAGTACTTAAATACAAATGCAGTCTAGTTTAAATGCCAAAGCACATTTCGGCGAGCTTAGGCAATGCTGTGTTTGTTGCTTGTTGTTTTCAGTTCGAACCCATTTCTCTCCGCAGCTTCCGCTTCCATTTCAACTTCAGACCAGAAGATTCAATCCAGATTACTAAGCTGAGCTGGACTTTTGCATCCTTTTAGGTTGTCTTTGCCTTTGTTGTTAACTAAACATGTGTATCATATATACCATAAATATAAATATATACATATACTATATATTATAATTTCTTATATACATACGTATGTATACACATATACACGTACACATATGCATTAATTTCTTTGTAAACAAATCGAATATCTCGGAAAATGTGTTCTTACGGTTATTATTATTAATTTTTACATTTAATTTGTGTTACTGAGCAAGCAAAGCAAACACACACACACACATGCAACACACACAAACACATACATACATACAGCAAGTACATTTAAGCGAGCACATAAAAGTATGCAATATTTTTTTCCGACAAATGTATTTTATGTTCTTTTTTAATAGCAATCCGGTTCCAAGGTTTTTTAGAAGAGAAGAGAAAACAAAACAACAATTTATAAATATTAGAAATTTACTTATAATTATGTACAATTTACGCATAATGGCAAGTGACAGGTTTATGTTTATTGTTTTAAGTAACTTGTAACAGAAACCAAACAGACTGACGGACCGCCCGACAGCAAGCAGCACACACACACACACACATACTATATACAAAGAAAATTTGAAGAGCAACTTAAGAGAAACGGCTCCAAAAAGACAAGCAACTGCAACATTTTTTGGGTTGATCTGAACCGATATTTGAACGACTGACCATACAAAGACGTACATACATTACATACATATACATAAATTACACACACAAACACACACCCACACACCCACACACACAATACACATACGCAGAACGCACTTATACATAGAAACACCCATGCGTACATCGGATAAATTAGATTCTTCTAGGATAACAAACAACACATTGGATAGTAGGTGATAATTGGTGTGTCTTAAATGCCCCGCTACCCCGTAACTTTTTTACTAAATTAGCAAACGTTTTTGGTAGAAATAACTTTGCAGTTCTAAACCAACAAATACTAAATTTAACGCAGGCGCATACTATTAATTAAACTAATTTTATACATATACATACACGCATATATATATATATAAATACAAAAATATATATATACATATAATTAAATGTATGACTTAAACTAAATAAATTACAAACCTTGCAATTCCACTGAAAAGTAATATTTTGTACATCTTTAAACAGCAGTTCTAGAATTCGCTCCAAATACCTACGTTTGGCCTCTTCTCTGCAAAAATACATACATATTTTGTTTGTTGTTTAAGCTCCAATTGAATGAACCCAGGCAATAGGCAACAACCAGAAATAACAAATGCTGCAGCAACAACAAAAATTAAAGAAAGAAAGAGAGAGAGAAAATAAATTAAAACACTTTACAAAATTTACGTTTAGATTTTTGGCCTTAAAACAAAACAAAACAAAAATACTTTATATATATACACACAACAAATATATATATACATATATACATATAGAAATAAATTAGTTTTAGTTTATACAAAGCAAGAGGGAGAGCCTTTCGTATGGCAAAGGAAATGGCAAATTCAAAGTGAAAGCGAACGCCGCCAAAAATTTAATTTCATGTAAATGTAAATTTAAATGTAATGCCGGCGCCCAACTTTGTTATAAATCAATGCATTGCAAAATAAACAAAGCAAAGAAAACAAAACAAAGAAAAACACAAAAAACAAATTGAATACATAATATGCATACATACAGTGCAGTTGAGTTGAGCTAAAGTATATATGTATAAATATATATACAAACACACACACACATAAGAAACAAATATATATATAAATATATATTATTGTTAAATTTGTATGCTAAGTTTTTAGTGAAAATGTTTAAATTTTTAATAATACAAAACGGAACGAGTAATTAAATAACAAAAAGTGAGGTAAACGAGTACATTTAAATTTAGCATGTAATGGCATATTATTATGTTACAATATTTACATTATAAATCAACAAAAATAACATCAAAAACAACCACAACCACAACCATTAAATGAAAATGACTTTAAATAAAAAAAAATCAACTGAATGAGAATGGTCGAAACAAGATTTCATTAAACACACAGACACTCACAACACACACACAGACCCAATTAATGATTATGCATAATTAAGTAGTTGTAGGCGGCAGTCTGTTGCACATTGCATATAACAAGAAAGACAAACACACACACAAACAGTCACAGAAATACAAACATTCAAAAACACACCCACATATGCAAATGCGAGCAACAAAAGAGGAGTCAAACCGCAGGAGGCAGCAAACAAATTTCTGCGCACGACAGTTATAAATGATAAGCTGACAACAAACTTTTAGTTTGTTATAAAGAGCGTACAAAAAGCAATATACAGAACCCATATAACGAAGCAAAACAAGAACATTTCGTTTTTGTTGACTGACAAACAAATATCGTAATATCTAAATAGCATGTACACTGAATAGGGCCCAGCTTGGACATCATTTGCCATCTGGACTTGCATCCAAAAGCGAATCATAGAGATCAAGGAAACTTTAGTCGTATCTCCAGAATGTCATCCCTTAATTGTGTACATCCTTAGTCCCTCAAGAGAGCTTTAAATATCACTTTTTGACTCGATAATAGCACACATAACACACTTGAATACTCATAGTTTCGGTTCAGCTGCAGAATTTCAAAGGTTCACTTAAAGCTGTGTTTACTGTATCGTAAAGAGACCGGGCGCATGTTTAGTTTCAGCATTCAAAGAAACACATTAAAACACACACACATACTCATACACATACACACACAAACACACAATTGTGTGTGTATTCATATGATGATAATGATGAGCTCCTCACAACATGGCGTATGTGCAATTTTTCTCATACAAACACACACAAGAGGTGTGCGAATATTTTGTTTGGCTATTTATTGTTAGAGGGTATTTTCTTAAATTCCATTTTATTTTGCCTGCAAATAAATGCCCTGTTAAATTGTTGCTACTATTCGGTTTTATGTTTTTTTAAATGCTTTCTCACTTGAACATAAATAAAATGAAGGTATGGCTGCAGAAAAAGCGAAGAAAATGCGAATAAAAATAAATATTTATGCCTCAAGTGTAAACAGATTGTTTATTTTGTCTAAAATATCCAAAGCAAATACTAGACACACTCTCCCACACTCATACCCAGACAATGAAACAGACAAAGCAAGTTAAAACAATACACAGACATCTTTCAATAAACACAGAATTTCAAAATGCAAAATATAACTGAAAATAATACTGCAAACACACAAAACAGGCATAGCAAGGAGCAAAGAAATGAGCAATCAAGCTCAGAACAATGTAAGGAAGGATATATATAGTATATATATATATATTCATATATATGAAATCGTTTTTTATATGCTTATTTAGTTTTACTAGATGAATTCATTTTTATATATTTGTAAATTGTTTTCTAGGTAAATCGAATTATTACTGTGTCTCTATACATACATACATATACATATATATAAAGAGAAACCAACATATATGCATTATGATTATTATTAACATAATTATGATTAAAAAGCATTAAAACAAAATGGCGAACATCAAACAAACAAACAAAACGAAAACAAATACAAAAAACACAACAAAAAGGCAGGAGGAGAGTTGAAAAAACAAACATAAATTACATAAACAGTTGGAAAAAAAAACAAACAAATAAAACGTAAATAAAGAAAATAAAATGAAACTAAAGAAAGAAACAAATAATTCAATTCATTCTTAATAATAAACTGTAATCTGAATTATAAGTGCGATGCATTTGCTTTCGAATTTGTCTCATTTCCTTTCGTGCTTATCGAATTAGGGTCCTTTAGGTCATTCTGAATGGAGCAGCAATCAAATATAAGAGCAAGGAGTGCTAGAATTATTATCAAGTTAAGTTATTAGTCGGAAGCACGTGCAGGATTTTCACAGGCCCCATTTTTCGTCGTTCCTGACTAGACAGGCTATACATACAAGTCCACTTTACAAACTTTTAATGGAATCCAGTCAAGGTAAAACAAAGCATCTATTTTCACACTGCTTTAACATTTAATGTGTAGAAAAATCGAGAGTATGGGTTCTGAAATTTTTGTTTAAATAAAAACCGATGAAACTATGTATTTAAATTTATATATGAACTAGCGTCCTGCCCCTGCTTCGCACGGGCATTTTTATTTTTAAAATTGTGTTATAAGAGGTATAATTTTAAAATAATTTTATTTTTAAAATTATACCTTTTTTAACACACACACACATACTTAACACACGTACACCCTTCTTTTTGCTATGAGTTACTAAGAAGGAGTGAAATTTGTTTTGGATATTATTATTTTTATGATTTTTTGTTCGTTTTCCGATTTTTTTGGTATTCTTTATTAGGTCAGAGGTTCTCTGTAAAGATATTAGATGTTTTATTTTGTGGTAGCAAAATAAATTGATTTTCAGAACCCGTGATAGGTCAACATGCCTTCGAATTAGTAGGGATATAGAATTTAAGTTTTCCAGAAGCATGAGTATCGGGTGGAAAATTCCCTTTTTTTTTTTGGTGAGCTGCAAAGTTATGCTGTTGGATATATTGGATAATGCCCCAAATTATGCCCAAATGCTGCCTCAAACACTTCCTCAAATGATGCCCAAATGATTCTCCAAATGATGCCTCTGATGATCGTTATTCTAATATTTTGAAAAATAAAGCAAAAAAGTAGTTGCTTTTAGATTAATTCAAGCGGCACGAATATACGTAATTTAGAGGAAATAACAAAATAGAAACGTATTATCGTATGATTAAAAAGAGTCGCATTACTATATAGTCGATTTTTAGAGTTTTAAGACTTGTTATTGTTGTTTGTTCAATACAAGGCTGTAGCAACCTAAAAAAAATGTGTTCTTTAATTCAATTACTCGTAGTTTGATCAAAGGGCTGTCATTAAGCCATTAGCGCATTCAACAATAATTCCAGTAATTGTTGTGGATTGGCAAATAATTGCCATAATTAATCATTTATATTTGCATAATAATTAAGTAAACCCGACTCGGTTATTTTTAAATTTTGTATAGGCTTGAGATCAGGAAAACAGGCTGCCCAGCCCCTTTTTTGCGCCAAAATGTTTCCCTCAACAAATTTAAGGAGACCATTCTCAAATACTTGAATATATTTCCAGCTTTTCGTTCGAACTAAAATTAAGCTTTTCAGACATATGAATTAAACGGGTTGTATCTTACTGTTTTCTAATCAGCGAGTAGAATATATTGAAGGCCGCTCACACTGTGCCGTTCCAGGAGATGTGCTTTCAACACTTGGGTTAGGTAAGTTCAGCAACAATCACTAATAGATCGGTTAGTTTTGAAGAGTTAGAGCTTGAATGCATTAATCATATTACTTTTAGTTCAGCAAAAGCCAATTTGTGAACCTTCCGGTGAACGATCTCTTTAATTTGGCTGTCAACTGATGGCCCAAATAAGTTTGTTTTAACCTTCATTTAATATAAGTGTGATGCTGATTTCAAGTGCTGACTGAGCCTTCGGCAAAAGGCAGGCCGTTTTTGCAAAGAGACAAAAAGTTTTGCTTTTGCTTTCAGCCTCAGCAGGTTTTGACATCATGTTGTGGCATGGTTGCTGACTTCATCCAAACGATGGCCTTGCCACAAAGTCACCCACAAATGTGCACAGCATCAGACCATAAATCCGCAAGCGTACAAGTCTGTCCTGTCTGTCTGTGTGTGTGTGTGTGTGAAATTGTTTGTGTATGTGTGTGACTGACTTGCTCGAAGTGCGTCTCACATGGAGGGGCTGTTGTGGCAAAAAGTTTACTAACATCGATTTGCCTTTAGTTGTGAACGCAGGTGTTGTTGCTATTGCTATTGTTTTGGTTGTTGATAATGCACAAGGTCGTGTGCTATATGCAGCAAATTTTATGGCCACACACACACACATGCTCTCAGAGCTTTGGCAGTGCTAATTTATGGCCATCATGGCAAGTGTTTTCTTAACTCTGTACACTTATGCTGGCGTCGTTGTTTTTATTGTTGTTATTTCTATTGCCATTGCTGTCATTCTACTTT